AGAAACACTGGCTCACCCTACACCTGAAACCCAATATACATACTAAAAGTATACACTTAGTCTTTTGGTGTTCACTCAGAGTACCTTCAAATACTAAGAGGGATCAAAAGACATCTAAGGAAAACAGAAGAAAAACAAGTACATTGGGGTTGGGGGACTACTGACACTACACAAGAAAAAAATGCCCAAATTATCCTTTGTTAATGTATGCATGAGATAAGGCCAGGACATTATATTAACAAACTAAATAGGACATTCAGAGAATAAACAAGTGCTCGTGAAAATTAATATAGAAGAAATGAAAAATTTATTGAAGGCTTGAGAAATAAAGTAAAGAAATACTCCAGAAAGTACAGCAAAAATATAAACAGATATAAAATAAGAGAAAATAAAAGAAATGTCGATTAGTAGAAAAATTCTACTATAAAAAAGGGCTTCCTATCCCCCAAAACCAAGGCTGAACGTTCTCTTTGATACGTGGATGCTAACTCACCATAAAAGGTGCTCGGGTCGGGGGGGGGGGTGAGGTTATGTGCAGAGGGAAGAATAGAAATTTAGTGGATTAGACAAAAGGGAATGAAAGGAAGGGAGAGGGGCTTGGAATAGGAAAGACAGTAGAATGAATCAGACGTAACTTTCCTATGTTCTTATATGAATGTACAACCAGTGTAATTCCACATCATGTACAACCACAAAAATGGGAAATTACAGTCCATGTACATATGATATGTAAAAATACATTCTCCGAGTTGTCGATAACTAAAAAGAACAAATAAAAATTACAAAATAAATATAATAGGGCTTCCAGAAATAACTGAGAAAAGAAATCATCAATGAGATAATTTAAGAAAATTGTCCAGCATTAGAGAACCAGTTTCAAGGATAAAAAGGGTCTGCTAAGTATCTAGCATAATAAATGAAAAATGACCAACACAAAGGTACATCACAGAAATTTCAGAACATGAGGAACAAAATCTCATAAGCTTCGAGACAAATGCTAGGTCACATACAAAGGATCAGGAATCCTAAAGATTTCAGAAGACTCATCAGCAACATGGAAATAAGAACTCACTGACACAATGTCTCCAAAATAAAGTTATTCTAATAAGAATTCTTTACCTAGCCAAACTAACAATAAAGAGTGATGCTAGAATACTGGCATTTCAAACATGCAAGATCTCAGAAGTGTACTTTTGAATACTCACATTTTTTTCTGCAAAAGAAAATAGAAGATATAATCCACGGGGGGGGGGGGGCGGGGAGTGTTAGAAGAGGCATAAACTAAGAAAGAAAAAGAGGGAAAAAAATGTGATTCACACTCAGGAATCAGGGTATCTAACACGGAGAAAGACAAAGGGAGATCCCATAATGACAATATTCTTAAAGCACTGAGGGCAACTGGTCCTAATTAGAACAGGTCAGAGAGTTCTATTTAAGAAGATGAAATTGATAGGACTGTTCTATCTGAATGCATGGAGAAATATATTTATTGACAGAGAATTTGGGGTTGAACCAGTGACAAGTATAGCCATGTACTGCTTGTTGGGGATATATTCTGAGATATGCATCATTAGATGTATTATTTACACAAATCTAAGTGGCATAGCCTAGTAACACAACTATAGGGCACATACATAGCACTGTTTCTGCAGTCTGTCATTGACTGAAACATCATTATACAGTGCATGACTGCATATAAAATACCAAGTAAACAAATCATCAAAATGATAATGATCAACTCCAGCAAAAAGAAAGTTATGCAAAAAGGGTAAAATAATAATAAAAGTATGCACAATTCATTGTGAATAAGGTTTACACTAAATATTAATCCAAATTTTGATATACAAAGAGGAGAGAAGATTAGGAAATGTGTGTGTGTGTGTGTGTGTGTGTGTGGAGGGGAGAGGAGGGGAGAGTTAGAGGAAACTAAATTCTCATCTTCTTCAGTGAGAAGTCAATAGTAAGCCTAAAGCAGAAAAACCAAGAAGTACCAATATAAGTATGATATTAAGACATATGGACTTTAATCTTTTTTTTAAAAGAGAGAGAGAGAGAGAGAGAAAATTTTTTTTAATATTTATTTTTTAGTTTTCGGCATATGCAACATCTTTGTTTGTATGTGGTGCTGAGGATCGAACCTGGGCCGCACGCATGCCAGGCAAGTGCGCCACCGCTTGAGCCACATCCCCAGCCCCAAATCTTCAATAATAAGATAAAGAGTTGAAAATACTTGGCTCTGAGAGAAGGAAACTGAAGTGATGCGGGTAGGGAATAGGGGAGGTACTTAAGAGTTTTTTAAATAAACCCTATAAAATATTTTATTTTTAGCCACATGTATAATTTTGATTTAAAAAAAAAATCAGGAAAGGGAGGGAAGAAAGAAAATAAAGGGAAAGAGAGCAGGAGGAGGGGAAAAATTTTAGAGACATAATAGAGATCAACATTAGATATAACCTAATAGATTGAATTGTGGGTTTTTATATAAAATGAAAGTCAAAGTCCAAAATATTGGGAAAAAATCTATAAGCTTTAAATAAATATAGACCCTCCCTCTATATATGTATATACATACATACAAAATATATAATACATACATTTCATCTGGGTTTTAAACTGTAAATCCATAGCCAAATGACAGCATGCAAGATGTGTATCATGTTATTTAAGTTCCCATTCTTTCACTGTTTGTAAGGGAGGGATGACACCATTATACTACTCCTTTCTTTCCTATCCTCCAACCTCCTATGGGTCTGCTTATTCTCTATTAGCTTAAGCCAGTATCATCCTCCCAAACTGGTCCACCTGCTTCTCTACTCTGCCATTCTCAATCATATTCATCTTCCTATCATGCAGGCAAGATGATCTTTCTAAATTCAAAGTCAATCAGACCATTTCCTTGCTGAAAATACTGCCATAGCTCCCACTGCCTTTAGGACAAGGGTGAACTCTTCAACCTGGCCTCCAAAGCTTCATAACGTGGCTTCTTGAGCCTCATTTCTTAACATTTCCAAGAAGGTCTTTCCCATCCTCCGCTCTCTTTAAGCTCTGGACAGTTACACTGAAGTCTGCACATCTTTGAATTCAGTCTGTTCTCACTTTTGCATTGCTTTTCCCTTTATTCTACAAGTTCTCCAACAAAACATTTTATGCAAAATTATGTGTGTGTTTCTGTTATGCACACACAAAAGCACAAGCATAAAAACTTACAAATAATGTTAATAGAATATATAAGTTCATTTAACCCCAATTTTGGACCTAATTTAAGAAACGCTTTGTTAAGGTATAAGTAGGCTCACAGGAGAATTTCTGCATACAAAGCATATGTGAGGCGCACATATCAATATTAACTGTTTTTCATGTCACCAGAATGTTCTATGCTGTGCTTTGTCCCATAGAAAGTTAACTAAATTATCTGAAAGTTGGTTTCCCTGGAAATGGGTTACTCTAGTGAAAAACATCCCCTCACTGTTCTGAAAACAGCAGGATCCTAGAATGTGAATAGTTCTGCCTCATAAGAATGCCTGAGCATGCAGTTACAGAAAAAAAAAAAAAAAACTTAAAAAAATTTGGATGATATTAGATGAACAGCTGTGTAGAAGGGGGAAAGTAAAAATAAAAACTGCATGTTGGAGCATCAAAATAGTAACCATGTACAGTATATGACTGTTTTTAATCAGATGAAGATTGAAGCTATTACATTTCAAATCAAATGTTATAAATTAGTTCAAGAATGCAGCTGAGCTCTCATTTAATTAGAAATGTCCATGTTTAAATCATGAGGTACAGTAGCTGCCAATGAAGCAAAAGGGCAAGGGAAGGGAGAAATACTGTGTCCAGACCCTCTGGTTCTCCACCGTCTCCTACACACAGCAGAAACATCTGGGGGGAAGGGGGAACTAGTCCTGATGTAAGGAAGAACTTCATGTACTAGCTAATTTGAGAGTTAATGTAATTGCCTATAATTGTTTTGAAGACAATTAAAATCATTATTCTGGTCTGGACAATTCTAAGCTCTTCATTTCTGTGTGAAACATATTTTCTTCCATGCTGAATTTTAACTCTTTCTTGGATCAAAAGTAAAGCAAATTTGGGGCCAAGATTTGCTTGGGAAAATCACTGCTTAGCTGTCAGGTCACATTAAAAAGCAGCACCCCAGTGAGGTTGTCCCTTTGGAAACAAGTCTCCTTTCCTATTTCTGGGATTTGATGTAGCTCAACTGAAGTCCAAATCGACATCCCAAATGTTAGACAATTTACTATTAAATAAAAATGAGACAACATCATAGAGGGATTTTTGAGGTCATACAGAGAAGAATGCAATTATCCTTAGGCGGGCTTTTCCCCAAAGGTTATGAGCCTCTGCATCTCGTAATTAACCACGGTGCAGCGAGACAGTCCAGGCAAAAGGTCTTTCTTTTCTCCCAATTTGCCGAATTCAAAAGCACCTCAAGTGACACAGCTCACATTTTCCAAATTAAACTTGGCCCTAGGGCTGAAATCAAGCACATGACAGATCAGCTCTACAGAAAATCTTAAAGAGAAAGTTGTGCATAGGGGAAAAAGGAGGAGGGGGAATCAGAGGGAAAAGGGGTAATAGTTTACATTTAAGTGGTTTTTCAACCTCACCATTACCCCTGCTCAAGAAAATAGGACACAGATGGGCAAAACAAGCCATCATTCTGTCCTGAGAGTCAAAGAAACTCATTAGAAACGACTATTGTTTCCTCACAATCTATTATGAATTTGTAAGAAACAAAATTATTGATTTTTTTTCTTTGCTACATCCCACAGTGGCTACTGATCCCTAATGTCATGGCATGGAAAGTGGAAGGTTGAGTCCCAAAGACAGTGTGCCACTGCACCCTAACACTTGTTGACACAATTCTTCAGGGCTGACTTTTCCCAGGGAGTTGAGAAGTGATTAGCTTTTCATTGTCACAGACTGTTTGGGTTTGTAAAAACAGTTTCCAACAGGAATAATAACCCAAAACTTTCTCTTACTTCTGGCTACAGCTCCACACTCGTCCACTCCAACACCAGAGAGAGGGTAAATGGGGATCAGGTCCACTGCTCCCAGGCAAGGGTGGACTCCCTCTTGAACCTCCATGTCTATGGCTCGGAAGGCCTCCAAACAGGCAGCCAGAACACAACTGCCTAAAAATATGAAATTGTAAAAAAAAAAAAAAAATCATTAAACTTTCAATTGTTTCTAAAGAAGAAGTTATGATTTTATTGTTCCACTAGCTGTTCTTCTTTTGTAATCTGTACTAAAGGTTTGTTTTCCATCAAAATAAATAACTGAAAAATAAAAGATTCAACATTTCCCCTCACCCCACCTCTCAACCATCAAATAACTTCATATTTCTTCCCAAAAGCTGAAGAATTATGCACTGTTTATTGGTCTTAAACAATTGTTACTTTCTTATAATAGGTAACTTTTATTTTCTTCAATTAATCTGATAAAATTCCTTTTAATTTCCAGAATGATTTTTAAGTAATTATATTAAAATATAGAAAAAAATTCATAAAACTTTAGAAGCATAGTTTTGTTCTTATCTAGTAATTAATTGATTATATCTAATACATATTATAGACACCTGAGAGTTTTGTTATTATTCTGAGTTTCCATTAGCCATACAATATGATCATTTCCACTGAGAAAAAAGAAGATTTTACATCTTATGTTATGATTAACAGTCAAGATAATCAGTTTTATGCTTGCAGGAAGTTAGTGGTCAGCTCTTCAAACTTCAAGAAAACATACTTTTGAAAGAAGACAATCTTCCAAGTTGAAGATAAGTTTATTTGAAAATATTGTGGGTCCTTTACCAGGCAATATTAACATAACATGTGGGCTGGGGATATAGCTCAGTTGGTAGAGTGCTTGTCCTGTATGCACAAGACCCTGGGTTCAATCCCCAGCACCACACACACACACACACACACATACACACACACACACAAAAAGATAACATGAACTTTTGTTCACAATTGTGATTCTTCAAATTCAAAAAGTTGTCCTACCAAACCCTATACCATCCCTATGAGACATGGAGCCCATTTCGTTTTAACCGATGGTTCAACTGAAGATTTCAGGCTACCAACCCAAAACACAACTGCTTAGTATATTTCATTCTATTGGTGTCAACTTGAGTGACATCAGGCTGACTTTAAAACTATTACTACATAGGTTAAACCCTGAATGTATTAACCACAAAAGACAGGTGATCATCTTCAGCAAAAGGATGTTACTAAATCTTAGGCCAAAAGGTCCACTATAATAAAGCAGAAACAGAAAGTTTTCGATATGTACTCAAAGAAAGGATAAAATGAAAATTGGGGGTAGATGCCTCACTGAAAGGAAGGAAGTATTCAAATTTACACAGGAAATCAGTAATTAAGGAAGACACCTGAAGCCTACCCTTCACCAAAAAAGATAAATATGTAAAAACAAATTAAACTCTTACCCAACTTATCAACAGAAGCTGCAATTGTAATAACTGATCTGTTGTAGTCTTGATCAGAAAATATATTGAGCACTGATGCTTCAGGATGTTTCTGCCCTGTAAAGATAATGTCAAAAAAATGCATAATTTTTTTTCTATAATGAATCTTTATACTTACATTCTTCTGATATAATTAAATTTAGTCTGGTGGAAAAAAATCTGGGATGGGAGCTTTGAGACACTGTAAGAATGAAATCATGAGTAGTGATGTCTACTTCTTACAGCATCTTACAGTATAACCAGACAGCTAAGCTCAGACATAAGTGTTTGATGTCTGAGAGACATTTGCTTGGACTTGTTAAATGAATTTGCAGAAGTTTTCTTAACTCATCTAAGAGGGTATTCCCTGTGATCAATGGTAAAATTGTATCATTCTAAATTTTCCCCTTATCAAGCTTATCTTCTAGGCCTTGTCAATATTTCCTTCCAAAATACAGAAACCAAATTGTCTGGTCAGGACGTGAAACATGGAAAAACTAAGACAGGCCAATTAATGCATAGATCAGAGGTCTCTAGTGTGCATACACCTGTCCATTAGAATCTGTTCTGACTCCACCATCTCCTTTCTAGAGGCCACCAACAGCTTTCAGATGTTAATGACTTCCAGCTTTTGGTGGCTTATGACTCACTTGAATGTGTAACCTGGAGGAGAAAGCTGCCATACCCTGGTATGGCAGCCATACATAAATTCAAGTTATTTTTGAAGTTTACAAGCCTGGCCCAGGCTCCTTAAAACTCCCCCTAAAGCCTACAAAAGCAAATTCAAAGTGAAGGACAAAAGTTTTTAGGCAGTAATTAAACCTTTAGCTATGCTATTATACCTTGTCCCCCTGTCTCCTGGCAGCTTAACAACTAATCTTTTCAGAGAAAAGGAAAAAGAAGTTACACCCAGGAACTACAGCTTACAGCAGCCCTACACTATTAATTTTAATAGCATGAGAAGATAAACATATGTCACTTACTTAGAGTCAAACAAGCACCTATAGAGAGCCCTGCCCTGGTGTAGGGTCTAAAATTTATAACTCAGGTTCCTTTACCTAAGACCTTTTTGGGTCATTTAAATGTGCTCACATTGCTTAATGAGAAAAAATAAATAAAGTTTGTATAGTTTTATTCCACTCGCTTAAAAGTAAATGCCTTTAAATTATTTGTAAAACTACAGGTTCACTTTCTTAACTAGTGCTACCTGCCCTGCATTTTTTAAACTACAAAAGGTGAGACAAGAACAAAATCATGCAACCTCCTATTTTATCTAGTTTTTCAACATAATTTAGCTCCTGGAAAAAAAAAAAAGAAATGATTTTTTTTTTCTCATCCTAAATCATCTTCTGAAAGGCTTTTATTCTCAGTTTCATATGATTCAATTGAATCAAATGCTGAAAGAATGAAACACTCTCTCCTGCAATTTCTTAAGCACGCATATAGGGAAAAAATGAGTGCTGGCAGGAGGAGCTGTCAGTATGAATCTCAGCGGAAGTAAATTGTTTGGGATTTGTAATGGAGTATAATAGCTATAATTCCATTTGAGCGGCTGCCACTAATAAGCTGATAAAAACTGTGAGTTGAGACCCAGGCATCCATCAGTGTGTGTCTTCCACAAATGTCTCTTACATTCACTCAATCAGAGACACAGGTAACCCACTCCCATTAGATGTACTGTTTCTGACAATGAAGAGCCTAAGCTGGCTCTTTCCCACAAAGAGCGTGCAAAAAACAGCTGCACAGACTCCAAAGGGGTTTTTAAATCAGCAATTATCAGGAATTTTCAGAGACATTTCCCGCTCCTCAAAGTTGTAAGACAGTAACTTAAATGTGCTCCTAGTTATGGATGGATTGGGGAGAAACACTTCTTTCTCATGAAAACCACATCAAAAATGACAATCATAAATCAAAATGTACTGTTGCAAATGCTTTAGGACTGTGACCCTAATGCTCACCTGTTGCCAAAAGGCTACTGACTTAGTAAAAAAAAGCATTTATATTTAAATAATTGTAAGTTTGTAAGTACCATGGCTTATATGTAAAAGCACAAATAAATGGTATCTAAATCATGTGTCATCACATGAACATTTTATGAAGGGTGAAAAAAAAAAACATAGCAGTATCTCTCATAGTAATATGGTCCTAGGAAGTATGGAGGCTTGTTTCTATGTTTATTTTGAGGTTATTTATTTATTTGTACCAGGGATTGAATCCAGGGGCACTTAACCACTGAACCACATCCCCAGCCCTTTTTTGTATTTTATTTAGAGACAGGGTCTCATTGAGTTGCTTAGAGCCTCACTAGGTTGCTGAGCCTGGCTTTGAACACAAGATTCTCCTGCCTCAGCTTCTCAAACTGCTGGGATTGTAGGCCACCATGTCCAGCAGAGTCTTCTATCACCAAATTTCTGAGTGACCTTATCTGCATCACTTAAAGACAACTGCCTAATAGTTTTTTTCCCAGAGAATGGATTAGAAATAATAATACTGTAAGGCTCTGCTGGCAGGAGTGCTTTGAAGGTGGTTCATCTTTGGCCAGTTTATTTTCTATTTAATCTGCTAAATAAAAATCATAATGTATTACTATGTTATTTTATTAATGATCAAATAAAAGGTCCATGAGAGAAGCATTAAGCTTTTATGTAAATCTGTCCTGAACAATTCACATCTCAGAGAATCATGCAAACATGAAGAGGTACATTCCTGAATGTATGCAGACATTTAAAAAGAATATCTGTGCACATCTGAGTAAGTGATTTATCTCAGTAGCCTGCAGTTGCTTCAGAGGAAGCTGTAACAGCTCAAGACCAAAGGCAGAATTCTAGAAAGAAAGTAGATGTTGAGTACAAAAATGACTGTATCATCGAAACACTGCAATATCCATTTCAACTGTTTGTTGTTCCTACCATTTTTTTCAAGAGCTGCTTTTGCTATGTTCTCAACAATGTATTTTCTTCTGGCTTCTGAAATGTTTAGTAAGCAGACAGCCAAACGGGACCCCAGTCTGGAGGAGGACATGATTTTTCTGGAATATAAAAAAAAATCCTTTATTTCAGTCTCTAGACATCATTCATATTTTCATGTTCATTAACCATAAAAATCACATCTTTTTAGAAACCTGGCAGTCAGAATGTGAACACTTCACTATTTCACATTCCTAGAAAACATTTAAAGGAAAAATTTTCAGAATCCCATGTGCATCATTCATATGAACATGGTCACACAATTATGAACATATGAACATAGTAACAACCCTGAAAATGCCTGGCAAATTAGTCTGGACTCTGTTATATAAAGGAAACTTTCTCATTCAAGTAGGTTATTTCACTTAGGCATGATCTTCCTTAGCTTATCCCTTTTTTCCAGGCCTGTAATATTTAACAAATAGGCAGGATCCTTTTATAAAACTAGAAAAACTAGACTTACTAGGGAAATGCAGAAATGGGGAATGAGGAAGACTAGTATTACTTAATATGACAATTTTTGTAAAAACTGTTCTTGTTGAAAAAAACAAAACGCATATCCACAGGTCAGGCCATGGACATTATACAGTCAAGAGGCCCATTTGGACTCTATGAATGACAACTATTTGATTAACTAAGATCCTCCTTGTTCTTTGACCTCCAAAGTTTCTACATCAGTTTAAAATTTTTTCACAGGACTGTACTTTGAACCAAAAGATGATGCAGATTCTGGTACATGTGCCTCAATAATGCCAAAAATGTGATTGATCTTTTGTTGAAAATGGCTCAATTACCCAAGTTTTAGAGGTTGCATTGATTCTAGTACTCTAAATGGCATTTGTCAACTAATCTTTTCACACTTCAAACAACGACTTTATGATCTAAAGGAATTAAAACACCTCAAAATATAAGAAAACAATTCCTCTTTTCAAGATCTGGTCGTCATAATGTTGGCCTCTCTTAAATATCAAAACTAAAAGTTAATGCAGCCTTCACGAATTCATCTGACAAATTTTTGATGAGGGTCATTTTGTGTCCTGGAAATGTCTCCATGTGACAACACTACAGAGAATGGTGTTCAACCCTGAAACAAAACAAATTTAAAATAAAAGAGCTCTGGTACAAATAATGATCTCTCCACAAATAAATGTGCTGTTTTCTGTTCACTAAGATTGTTGGCCTAATCATCTGAACCTAGAAGGATGCAGCACTTTGAGGTTAGTTGAAGTTTGCAGGCAGATTTTCATATTTTGACCATCAGCTCATCAATGCAAATTCATAAAAATAGGATCATTAGGTTCTTCTAGACATTAATAACATTGTTGTAATCGAGCAGCTCAGACCTCTCCCCTTTCTGTGTAAACAAAAACTTGCTTTACACAAGGGGTGTGGGCGTCTTCTGGTTTTCATTTGTTTTCAGTGTGTTTATGTAGCTTAATTGTCTCATCAGGCACTTTCCCAACATAATTATGCTTTTTAACAAATGGTGTTTATGGCAACCCCTAACAGTGCAAAAGAAAGGATTAGTTTCATCCTCTCATTCCACAGTTTGATTCCCTGTGGACAGCTAAATCACACAAAGATGGTGTTAGGAAAATCTACCTTCACTGCAAAAAGTGAAATGTGCGCCAATACAAGGCGTTCCGACAGTTTCCTCTAAGAAAGTGACCCAAATGCAACCCCTCGCCCCATCCACTTCGTGGTTTGGGATAAGGAGATCCCAGCCCGCCCGCCTCTCAGTCACTCTCTGGCGACTTCCGGTGATAGACCGAAAGCTGTCCCAAGAGGAACTAGCAGGGCAAATCCAAATGAAGCAGTCCTCCACGGATACTCCAAATCCCCGCCTTGGGCACAAGCACCTCCGCACCGGAGGCCGGCGGAGGGCGCCGGAGCGCGATCTCCGGACCAGAGCCCCCGCGAAGACCACGTGTGCGGTCCTGCCTGGCTCCGGAGCGGAGCGTCCCAGGGTCAGGCAGGCCGAAGGGTAACCCTCGTGGCTGAGCGGCCGCCGATAAGGCCCGCGGCCGGCTGCCCGGGTGGGGCTCCGGGGGCCCACAGACACGCTGCCGCTAGGGAGTCCGGAGGGGAACCGACCTGCGCCCGAGGGCAGCGGGGAGCACTGCCGCCGAACCGGAATCGCCGCGCGTGCCCGCCGCGCAGCCTCAGCCGCGGCTCCGCCTCCCCGGCGCCCCGGGGCGCTCCACCCCGCAGCATACCGCCCCGCAGCTCCGCGTCCCTCCCGCCCCGACGCCGCGGAACGCGACTGCCAGGGAACCCGCGCTTCTCGGAATTACACGATTCTGTCTTGCAAGTGGGCGACTGTAAAAGGGCATTAGGATCTAAGGATGAGGTCTTTACCCATTGATCGCACACCAGCAGGGGGCTCTTCGCTGGTTCCCTAAGGAGGAACACACACAACTTCTTTGTGGTACGTTCCCTCCCTCCCGAGACTGACTTCCCCGAGCGCCGGTGACTGAGAACTGATTCCACCCCCGGACAAAAGCAGCACTTGTACGTCCCCATTTAGTCAGTTACAGGGAATGTGAACCACGCTTACGCATTTCTTTTTTTCTTTTTTCTGGGCTAGTCAACCTTGAAAACACATTTCTCTTCCAAAAAAAATCAGGACCTGTTTTGGGTTGTTTTTATTTTTTATTTATTTTTTTAATGTAGCCAGGATTAAATGTCATCATTTTGATCCAATTTCGCTCCTCAAGTGAAATAATCACTAAATAGCACTTGGACGGAATAAATTAATTTTTAAATCTATTTTTTAAATTTTCTAATTATAATTTTTAAACACAGATTTGAGGAAATTAACATTTTTGTGGACATTTGGTTTCTAGCCTAATGTGGCATAAAAATAAGTAACATGACGAGTGTTAAAAAAAATCAGGTTCACGATGCTTCTCACATCATCATCATTGTACTTAGATGTCACAACAGTATTATGTGCGATTATGTCAGATCCAGCCTTCTCCATCTCAGAGTGTTGGCAGGTAGGAGGGTTGTTGGCAAGAGGAGGGGTGTTAACCTCAGGATCCTGGATTCATTCCAAGGCTGGTAATTACATTCTGCCAGCCAAAATTCATCCCATAATTTTAATTGGATAAATCCTTTCTGGCCTAAGCTACTGCTATGCCTGTCAAACTGTTGCCACATTTCACCCCAGAGGTGTCTGTGTTTTAGTTGCAAGAATCAGTCCCTTTGAGGTTGGCTTATCAGTTTAAATCCTCAAAGTGCTTTGGGATGCTTTGGAATTAAAAATATATTTAGGTATTTTTTTAAAATATTGAATCTGCATAGAAATGCATGCAATAGATATGCCTAAGAACTGATACCCATCTAATGTCAGCATTCACTAATCTGGGGAGCTTTTCAGCCAGATTCATGTCCCTCAATGTCTTTGTGTTTCCTGTTGAAAGATTGTCTTGCCTATGGCTTTAGCTTCCATTTTCAAAAAAGTAACCACAGTGTCCAAAGTTTCCTTCCATGGTGGGACAAAAAACTGAGGCCTCTTTATTTCACCTTTCTAAACAATCAAATGATAAAACTGCTTTTTAACAGGAGACAGGATTAGTAGCATTACATGTGGTCTTATATCCCTCCAGGGAAAACCATGTGACACCTAGGGCTTCTAACTAGCAGTAGCAACTGCCAAAAGAAAAGTGTCTTCCTGCATCTCCTAATCCTCTCTGTGAGAAACTCTCTCATACAGGATGACTGGGGCACTAACATTCTGGAAGCGTCTCTTCACCATTTTGCTCACTTAAAACACAAATGGGTAGAAAGCAGGGCCCAGTGTTCTTTGTGGAAGGCAGCATTTGTCTCCTGCCTGAGGACCACAGCATGTTTTTGGAAAAGACAAGACAGATACCAGTGCTTCCTGTGAGAAGTTTAGCAATAAGATTGAAATTATTAGTTGTGCTCTTCAAGAGTAGAAAGATGGGTTGGGGATGTGGCTCAAGCGGTAGCGTGCTCGCCTGGCATGTGTGTGCCCCGGGTTCGATCCTCAGCACCACATACAAACAAAGATGTTGTGTCCGCCGAAAACTAAAAAAAATAAAATAAAATATTAAAAATTTTCTCTCTCTCTCTCACAAAAAAAAAAAAAACATGCATCATGAAAAAGAAAAAAAAGAGTAGACAGATATCACTGGTGTTAGGTTAGCTCTACCACATGGAATCCCGCCCAGATCCTTATTTACAAGAGCTTTATGTTACATGAATAACATGCCCATATTGTCTCTTGTTTTTATTAAACTTAATAATCTTTGGAGGGATATTCAACCTTTTGAGTTAATGAATTACACTGACTCCGAACAACACTTGCTATATCTACCTTCTGGGCATTAGTGCTTTTGCTCTTTATGATTCCTGTCCAGAAGCAAAGAAGCACTGGAGTAAAGAAAAGCTAAAACTTCCCAAGTGTCAGTTACATCAATAGGCATCTGCTGCTTTCCCACTGGTTTCCTTAGAGAATACTTTACTCCCTCCTTTTCACTTTTGTGAGGGGGGAAGAAGTTAGGTCTTCTAGGAGCTTTTTCCTGGCCTATGTGATCTGAGGAGGATAAAAGAGTCTCCACAAATGTACCTGAGCCAGGGAGTTGACTGAGCAGGACTAGGATTAGGGTGAGATAAGTAAGGAGCTCAGCCTACCCTGGGTGCAAAACCCAACTGGGCGCCAAAAACCTCAGTGATGCAATAGTTTTTAAAATCAGAAATTCATGCAAAATAAGAAATGTGGTGACAAAGTACCAAGATTTTCAATAAAGATAGGTTCCTCCCTGATGTTGTTCCTCAACTGAGCCTCACCCTGATCTCAGCCCCATGGTTGTGTTCCCCTTTGTGCCAGTTTATTTTGGATTGCAGGACTAAGAGGAAACTGACCCACTCCATTCTGCCTAAAATCAAATATGTCAAGGTAAAACTTTCCAGACCAATGGAGACATATAGTTTATAATCTGTTCAAGAGTTTCTAGACTGCCATAAATTGGAAGCAGTCAACTGATTTCCAAAGAAGAGAAACTCCCATTAGAATAAGTAAAAGAATCAACTTTACTTACCTGATACATTTCAGTACATGGTAATTGGATTTCCTATCATGCTGAAATTTTGAAATGTTTTGAAGAATATCTTTAATTAATATTATATATCTATGTTCATATTCTAGCATTTTTCAGAGTTCAGGAGAACCTGAGTAGAAAATTACTGTTGAAAAGACAAAATTCCCTGATGTAACTTTTTTTTTCAGAGATTTCACTTTCATCATTTTTTGCACTAAATCAGATTTCATTTCTACCATCTTCTTTCTTGTGAGTTTAAATTATTTCATGTGATATTATGAAATATATGTTCTATTAGTCATTAGCTAAAATAGCAAATGGGTTTCATTGTTGCCATTTTTACTGTAGTGGTGGAAGCTGTGCTATTCATTTATTTTAAATGAATAAAAATAACTTGATGTCCAGAAAGATGTTACAGTTACTACTAGAAACACCTCCATTACTCATATATATATATATATATATATATATATATATGACTTAATTATGAAAAATGATATCTAGCTACTTTTGTCTTAATGAAGGAGCAGGGGAAACTCCACACAATTTCCAGAATTAACTGTTTTTCACTTTAATATTCTGGAAATGTCTTTACCTTTATAGATTGTGCAATGGATTACCTTTGCACAATTCCTCTGGTCTACTGAGCTCTGTCATGAAAAACTAGTAGAGAAGAATGTCAGCATACTGATTGGCTTAAATTGAAATTACTTGTTATATATCCTATTCATGAACAGCTGGAACATCTCAGGTAACAAGCCAAAAGTTAAATTCTATCATCTGCCCATCTCTTAATTCATTCCTTGCCTTACCTTCCACATGGTCATTTGGTTACCCTTTCCTTTATTATGGAAACAGACATCGAATAAAATGTTTTTTTTATTACAGTTATAGTGCAGATGGAAAGCAATTCCTAAAATAGACATTGAATTTTTGCTGAAAATTTGTTTTAATTTATGGGACTACACTTAGATTATTTCTAAATTTACAAAATGTATCATTGTATTCAGAAAACTGCTGGGAATGGTTAGACATCGTCCTCTGAATTTTTGTTGCATTGTGAGGTTTTATAAAGAAATATTTACTTAAAAATTCCAACCAATGGCTGGTGACTGCCAGCTTTCATTAAGAAAGATGATACATGTCATAGCAGTCAGTAGCATCCAGTCATGCTCTGAACTTATAGGCAACTTTGTACTATTGTTGATGCTGCTATTTAATTCTCATAGGTATATACAAATGAATATCAACTGTTATTGACACCAAAATGGTAAGGAATATACTGTGTGCACAGAAATCAGCCACCCTGAACAGAAGCAGTCTTGTCCTCATTCCGATCTGTGTTCAGAGGCATCCCTTGTTTTGAAAGGGAGCCTTTCTGGAAAGGCTTTTACTACATATCTTAATGTTTGTCTTTTACTACATATCTTAATGTTTGAGGATACTTAACTTTTAAAAATGTACCTTTTATCACATGTAAATAGAAAATGTCAAATTTCTTGGGAAGGAATGGAAAAGATGAATACTTTGGTGCTGATGTTTTTAATGTTTTCTGTATCCTACCTTGTGCTTCTCAGACATTATTCAACTCTTAAGTTGGAATTCTATGCTCATAGAAACATTTGAAAATAAAAATTCCTAGGCCCTCCGGTAGAAGGGATTTAGAGATCATCTGATAGCTCCTCAAAACCCTTCATTCAAGTGATGCCTCACCTAAAGCAATAAAGATGGAAGCAGAGCTTCTAAGGGACCAGGTGGTGAGGGTAAGCAGTTGGGGTGTCCCTGCAGTTCAATATTTTCCCCACTTCTACTTTTTCCAAGGCCCTTTCCTGAACCCTAAGGTGCCTTTGAAAACCACAGAATTTTTCTTTGGCCTTAAACCCTTTTTAATAATCTGATAGAATGTTTTCATCTTTTAAAGATTAACTCTGGGGCTGGGGTTATAGCTCAGTGGAAGAGTACTTGCCTAGCATGTGTGAAGCACTGGATTCAATTATCAGCACCACATATAAATAAAATAAAGGTCCACCAATAACTAAAAAAAAAGATTAACCCTATATCTTGAAATGAGGGCCATAATGTGGTCTCAAAATGTAAGTGCTGTAGAAAATCCACATTACTTTGTAATTATTGGATGGGTTTTAATAATTCATCTGATGTAAAATAAATATGAATTGCTATTCAAATCTAAATGACCCATCAAAATTTTTAATTAATATTCAAGAAAATTTGAAGCAGAAACCAGAAGGATAAAGGTTTAGGGGAAGGAGGAAGAAGGATTTAAAAAGATGCAATCAAATAGAATAGACAATTATAGTTCAGACAACAAGCAAGGATGAAAGTGGTTAAGTTACTGTATCATTAACTAGTTTGGAAGACTGTAATACAGCCCTTCCCTTCCCAGTGCCT